GTAAGTAAGATTTTATTTCTAATATGTATTTACTTTGTTCAGCGGTAACTGCCAATGCAAATTATCACTCCATTTACTTAACAATGAATGAAATACGTCCACTGGGAACCCAAACAACCTTCAATAATGCAACTGTCTCCATCTGCTATCAGCTAACGGACTGTTATCGTTTTAAATTAATCTCACGGCGAAAATGCATAGGGTATTATTCGGGATTATTCTTTGTGTGGTAACTGGTTGTTGGATAACAAATGTATCGCACGTGGCCGGAACACTCTCGAAGAAAGACAAGAAAAATAAGAAAGGCTCCGAGCCTAGCCGAGCGGTAAGTGAAGTTTTGTTATTGTTTAACTGAAGCTACACTAAATGAAATAGATCCATGGGCTATCTCTTCTTCTAGAATCGAAATGGACTTGATAAAACAACATGGATATTCGAATCAGAGAGGTATTTCTGTCGTGAACAATTTTGCGTGCCCTGAATGAGTTGCAGACTGATAATCTTAAAACATTTTGTGTATGCATTAGGGGCTAACTTTAGTGTTAATGTTTTATTTATTATTTAAATTTTGTTCTTGATCTGGCTGAATATGGAATCGGCCCATCTTAATAAGGGACGTAAGAGTGAATTCTGAAAGATTCACCCTGATTTTTCTTATTTATTTTGTTATCTTTAAATTTTATTTGGTGAAATAAAATTGAAGTTACTGGTATTAGCGTGGTGATACTCAAACCAAACTAAATCAAGTGTTAATTAATGCAAAGTAAGTGAAACGCAAACTGTTAAAGTTTCACATAACAGCTGCAGCATGTTTTTAAATAAAAACGTTGAAATTTATTATTCAAGATCTGTAATTACTCTCTGAGAACCAGCCAGTTCAAATTCTGCTTTAACACAAAATAAAAAGCCAGATCAGTAAATTCCCTTACTGATTCTTACTTCAATTTAAAATAAAAAGTACACTCTTCACTTCACAATGTCTGATCTGAATTTTTCCTATTAGCTGCCATACTTTTCCTTGTCAACCTTTTCACTCCTAAGATCTTATATGGTAACTCTCCTTACTGACTGCTATACAATTATTATGATATGAGTTTTGAGAATTTAGCATTGGATCAACTGCATGTTATAATCTCCTAACTGGTATTCACCTTTGTCCTCATCACATGACTGCTTGATATTTTCTTGATATCGGGAAGAGAAATTCTATCATGGCCACTCATAGGAGTTTAACCCTTTAATTCCCTTGATCTCATTAGAAATTCTCCTTACTGTCTGCCATATAGTTCTTGTGAAGTTAATTTGGAGAATTTGGTATTGGATCAACTTATAATCCCCTAATTAATATTTTTCTTTATTCTCATCACTTGTCCGCTTGATATTGTATTGATATTGTAAGGAGAAATTCTGTCTTGATCACTCATGGGAATAAAAGGGTTAAGAGTTAAGAGAATTAGGATTCATATCCATGACCATCATCACCTGTTGGAAGGATGATGTATTGATACTGTCAAGAGGTATTGTACACGGCAGGGGGCAGTATATCAGACTTTATTTAATATATCCTGGTGAGTCAATCTGCAGGCAAAATAAAGATCATTGTGAGGTGATGAAAACTTAAAATGCAAAGTCACAGCTTGTTAAAAGAAAGTACTTATTAGAATCCTTCAATTAGGCATGAAGGAGGTATTAATAATTCTTGAGAAACCGTAGTGCTGTAATAATTGGTGGGGGTTTAAATAATCACAAGTTGCTAATAAAAATTGGTTGGCACAGAGTGATTCAAGGTTGATGTTTTTAAGCATTAGCCCTTTGTTAGAGCTTATGACTTGCCCTGACAAAACAATTCTTTTCTCTCTTGACCTCTTTGTTTTTTTGTTAATTTTTTTTATACCAATCGGGCATGTATTTGATACCAATCGGGCATGTATTTGATACCAATCGGGCATGTATTTGATACCAATCAGGCATGTATTTGATACCAATCGGGCATGTATTTGATACCAATTGGGCATGTATTTGATACCAATCAGGCATGTATTTGATACCAATCGGGCATGTATTCAAAAAGATTTAAATATGGTGCTTGTAAGTGAAAAAAAAAAAGAGAGAAAGAAAAGAAGAGAAAAAAGGTGACCAAGACAGAATCTCTCCTTATAATTATCAAATGAATACAATATCAAGCAAACAGGTGATGATAATAAAAAATAAAGAATAATATCCACAAGAAGATTTTTGGTTGATCCAATACCAAATTCTCTGAACTTATGTGATTACAAAAATTTTACAGCAGATAGTAAAGAGATTTTACCAATGAGATTTTGAGAGTGAAAGGGTATTAGCCATAAATATATTACATTATTTTTTGTATATTAATCTTTGTTTCATTTGATATTTGTTTATCAGGGACGTCCTGATTCAAATGTCACAGCACGAGGCTTAGTTGTGGAAAATCCAAGAACAAGAGATATCATCAAGTTCCACAGCTCATATTATAAAAATGTATCAGAAGTAAACTTTAATGGAGATGTCCTGGTATATGTTGCACCAGTAAGTGGAAACATCGATAATTATCAACAACTTATATCATGAAAGCATTCTTTACAGCTAGGATACTGTTTTATCTACAGTTTTTATGTCCCATCAAACTTGGTATAATTTGTCAATTCTGCCTCTTATAGAAGTGATTCAAGTTTTCTGAATGCCATAATGTTGAAAGTTGAAAGTTTGTTTCATGGCTCTTGAAGTTTTGATTGGATTTTGTGCTTTCCCAATGATATCTCATGCAAAGTGGCAAAGTTGTTGAAAAGATAAAGGTATAAAGGAGGGAAAGTTTCTAAAGAGACTGCGGTGCTGCATCAGTTGGGGGTATAACAAGATATTTTGGTTTTTCAACTGAGCTAATAAATGTAGTGCAGCCACAGTAAGGAGTTCTAAAGCTCTGGAACTCTTTATATATAAAATTCACCCTGTTTCAATTGCATTTCTTTTTCACAGCTCTCTGGATCAGTCCAGTTCAGGGCTACCATTAATTGTGTAGACCTCACACCAGAGACCATACCCACCTATCCCAGGCCCTTAAACTTTTACCAATTACATGATTGTTTTTGCACAAATTAAATTTTTTACCAACATGAATGTCTTCCTTTTTTTGTGTGATCAAATTTTATCTCATTTTCCTTTTTTCAGTGGAACTCTCATGGTTATGATGTAGCAAAAATATTTAGCCCAAAATTTACTTATGTTTCACCAGTGTGGCTCCAAATCAAGAGAAGGTAATGTCATTGTCATTCAGAGGTCTAGGTAAAGCTAGGTCAACTCTGGCACTGGTCACAATAATTATAATATTATTGGAAATATAACTACAGTAAAAACTGGTAGATCAGAATCTAGGTTTTTTCAAGTTAGACTTCATAGGTTCTTAATATATAAATTGTGTTTACTGTTTTACTGTAAAACTAGGCTACCTAGGTTTTTCATCATGTTCTTAATTTTTGTGTAATAAATTTGTCAGGTGTGGGTGTGATTCTGCACTGTATGCCAGCCTCATAGTGCCATGTTTTACATGGCTTACTTGTACACAAGGTCAGATATGCTGCACAGCTATGGATGTATCGACAGTTCAGTATTGTAGTCTTACAACGCTACCGGTGTTCTGCCTAGTTTTTGTTATCTTTTTGTATTACATGCAATGTACTGTATCAGATTTGAACAAACTCTAGACCTTCTAAAAATAAGAACTTGAATTGAGATTTTAGCCTTCAATTCCCCCCCCCCCCAAAAAAAAAATGTTGTTTTTAGTGTAAGATAAATTTGAAACTTATGCCAATTTCTTTTGCTGTTGTTGTTGTTCAACAGGAAAACTGGTACCTTTTCTGTAGAGGGAGGCCATGACATTGATCAAGGTATTGAAGAACAACAGATCAACAGAGAAACATACAAACCGCAAACTTAAACATGTGGTGCACCTCCCTCCACATGTTAAAAAATCTTTCAGGAAGAATTCTTGAAGCAAGAATTTTGAAGATCCTGTGAGATATTTCATAAAGATATTTGCCAAGATCCTTGATAGGATCCTTGAAGGTCCTCATGCGATCTTTCAGAATCTTGAAGGATCTTTGAGAGTGGTGGTATTGTGGAAATTGATTACAGAGGGTTTATTTTTATGAAATGTCTTGCTTATTAGGAGAGATTCAGTCATAGGTGAATGTTATGTTTTGTTTACTTTCTTTAGGTTGGATGTCAGACGTTAAAAAAGGAGGAAATCATGTTAAGATTGGTAAGGAAGTGAAATTTAAAGTAAGTTCTTTAACCCTTTAACTCCCTTGAGTGACCAAGACAGAATTTCTCCTTACAATATCAATTCAATATCAACCAGATAAGTAATGAGAATAAAGAAAAATATCAATTTGGGGATAATTAGTTGATCCAATACTTAATCCTCTTACCTGACATTATGAGAACTGTATGGTTGACAGTAAAAAGAATTACAAATTTGATCTGGGAGTTAAAGGGTTCATTTCTTTAGTCATGTGGACAAAAACAATGGCAACATCAAGAATGAAAACAAAAAACAGCTACAACAGTAAAAACATCCATAATGTAGTCAAATAAATAAAAGAAAACAAGTTTACTTTAGTTAACTCTTAAACCCCGAAGAGTGACTAACATCTAATTTCTCCTTACAATATCACCCCTGAATCACACTTTAAAGTCTTGAGAATAAAGAAAATGATCACCAACTACAGACGATCTTGGTTGTTAAATAAAATTCTCCTTGTCAGCACCTTAGGAAATGTATAGAGAACAGTATGGAGAATATGCATACTGAGTTTTAGGTGTTAAGGGTGAAAAAGTAAGTTAACTTTGGTCCCATTTCTTTTCAGTTCCCAGAGTATTGTTTGACCAATGGACATTTAATGACTATCACATAATTTTTTCAAGTGACACTGCACTACAGTCCTTAATTGACACAATAGTCTCCTACCTAAAGGTGAGTGAGGAGTGCAATGCTCACAAAGAATTGTGTTTTAATGGTTGCATACCTTGCAGTGAATTAAAAGGTTTTGGTCTTGTGTCTTCTGTCCTTAAATGAAAACCTACTCAGCTGCTAAAATGTATTTTTTGCCTTATGCTCCTTATGTTTTTTTTTGGGGGGGGGGACAGTAAGAGGTAAAATATTTATTGGAAGATAGATGTCTATCTACTCTTATTTTTTTCCAAGCTAAATTAAGAACCAACAGGAACTGTAAGTTACATTAGTGTCAAAAGTGATTCAAATAATTCCAATGAATGGACATAATGATTTACATGACTGTATTCAATATTTATAGTAATAATCCAGGTACAGGCTTTTTTTTTTTTTAAAGAATTTTTTAGATTTTTTCTTCCTCTTTCTTTCTTATTCGATTTTCTTCAGGGAAATCATTTTGATGGTCTTACTCTAGAAGTGTGGAGTCAGTATAATGGTGACACAAAAGAGTAGGTTTAATTTTTTTTTTTGACTGATATGTTTATTAATTGTTTGGATCTTCTGTCTCTCTGTTCTTCAGACATTCTGTCTATTTGTGAGCAATTCAGTCATTTATATGTACAGGCAGCCACTCAGAATTTTTTTATCACTCACTTTAACCTGTCAATCAATCAGTTTGAAGTTGGGCAGTCAGACATTAAATCAGGCAGTCATTCTGTGAGTCATTTTATGTTCAGTCACTGTCAGTCAGTCAGTTATTTTATTTTCAGTATCTGTCAGTCAGTCAGTCAGTCAGTCAGTCATTTTATGTTCAGTCACTGTCAGTCAGTCAGTGAGTCATTTATGTTCAGTTATTGTCAGTCAGTCAGTGAGTTATTTTATGTTCAGTCACTGTCAGTCAGTCAGTGAGTCATTTATGTT